CTGTCAACAGAATACCATGTGACAGGCAAGAGTCCTGGGTCAAACATCAGGAGGGCCCAGAGTGACCAAGGAGAAGTTCACTGTTTCCTGCACTCTAATACAAGAACACACTCACCTACAGCACAGAGGTATGTCAACGATAAAAATGTTAAGTGAAAATAAAACTAAAAACACCATGCAGATATCAATAAAATGAAACAGAAAATGAATAACTAAAAGATGAACAAAAAGCCCTGGCCAGTTTGGCTCAGCGGTTAGAGTGTTGGCCTGTGGTTGGGAGAGACCCAGGTTCGGTTCCCGCTGAGGGCACGTACCTCGGTTGCAGTTTGTCCCCGGCCCTGGTTGGGTTGTGTGGGTGGCAGCCACTCCATGTGTCCCTTTCAAATCGATGTTTCTCTCTCTCTGTCTCTTCCTCTCTCTCCCTCCCACTCTATCTAAACAAAAAATGGAAAAATGTCCTCAGGTGAGGATTAAAAAAAAAAAAGATGAACAAAAAAATTAAGAAATTATTCTATATTTCACAATCATAGAAAATGCATGGCAGAAATTAAACTACAAACAAATGAATGATGACCATTAACCTAAAAGTTTATAAAATGCCAATAAGACTGTCCGGGACGGTCCTTTTCCACTGCTATTACATCACTGTCCCCTCATATCCGGAGGGGACAGTGATGTGATAGTTGTTGTCATGGCTGTTGCCTATTGCAGAAGACACTTGCAAAATCATAAACTCCAATCGTGGTCAAAATCAGCCCAATTTATATTTCAACATTGTGAGACCTGGAACAGAGGAACCTCACTGTTCTGTGTGACCCACAGAAACTGTAAGACAGCCCTGGCCAGGCAACTCAGTTGGTTGGAGCGTCCTCCTGCACACGAAAAGGTTTCCGATTCAATTCCCAGCCAAGGCACATACCTAGGTTGCAGGTTCGATCCCCATTCGGGGAGGCAACCGAGCAATGTTTCCTTCTCACATCATTCTCTCTCTCTCTCTCTCTCTCTCTCTGTCTCTTCCTCCCTCCCTCTCTCTTAAAAAAAAAAAAAAAAAAAAAAATCAATAAAGACATATCCTTGGTGAGGATTTAAAAAAGGAAAATGGTAAGATAATAAATGGGCAGTGGTTTAAGCCATGAAGTTTGTGGTCATTTAATACAAAGCAACAGAAAACTAATACAATACTTGAGGTGATTTAGACAACCAAAGTAAAAAACAAGACAGCTATTAACTCCAGGGAGGGAGCATTGGACTGTGCAAGGAAGGAAAAGTAATGACCATGGAGGCAGGTTTTCACCACGTCAGCAAATCCTTTGACAGGACGCTCGTGTGTGTAATGTCCCCCGCCCCGGGGAGCTAGCCACGGTGACTCGCTCATGACCTACAGAATGCAGCGGAAACAACGCTGAGTGATTTCCCAGGGTAAGTCCGTTTCTGTCTGGCTCCCTACAACTCCGGCTCTAGAACACATTTTACTGGAGTGTTGGTATTGGGTTTTCAGGGGAAGCACAGCCTTTCCACTTTTTATTTACTAATTACAGGTTTTCCATTGACTACTGCCCCTTGTTACGATATCATCCTCGGGGACCTCGAAGAGAAGAGACACAGCGTGTGTCCATTCCTAGATTCCGCAGCCATCACTCCACCAAACTTCACCATTAACCTCTGACATGAACCAGCCAAAATAACAGCCTCAACGCAGTCTCTGTAACCCAGTAAAGTGGAATATTTAAATATCTAAAGATAGGCAGGCTTGTCAATTACTGATGGAAAACACATCTCTTGTTCCTTTTTATACCCTGGAAAATTCTACCAAATTGATTTGCTGTAAAACTCTAAGCAATCTAACATTTTAGTTTTCACATTTCTAATCCAAACCAACTTCAGAAATAATGTCTGAGTGAAGAACTTTCTGGAAAACATTTTAACAAAAAGTCTCCTCGTGTCTAAAAGATACTTTCATCTTCTTAATTAAATCAACAAATACTATGAATCAGATAGTACGAGGTAAAAAAGATATGACACAGTCCCTGGTCTCAGGGAGGTTATAATAGACATAGTGAGTATGTAACTAAATACAAGGCAGTATACAGTAAGCTCTGTAAGAGAAGTACAACAGGAGAGGCTGCATGCAGCTGGAGGCCCAAGAAAGAGCTGAAAAAGGATTTGAATAACCTCTCCCAAGCCCAAGCTTCTCAGTCCCCTTTACCCTTATCTCCTCAATGCCCTACACCTTGTCTTCACCTGAAATTACTCTAACCTTCAAAACTTAAATGGTGGAACCCTCTTTCAGACTAAACTCTAGATCCCTGTTTGGAGGAAACCCTTATCCCCCCTCCCCCAAGAGTCTCCATGGGGGGGGGGGGGAGAGGACTACTATTCACTCCCCAGGCAAGTCAAGTGGCTAATCTGATTGGTTGATCACCCTACCCCACCTTCACTTGGGAGAAAAGAAGAATAAGCAACATCTTGGCCTTAGGTTTCCAATAATTTCTCAGAATCTCTGTATTCAGTGGTCACTGGAACCTGTTCAGCCATTCCTAAGTTGTCCCTTACCCCTTGTATTTCATTCTCAAAATCTGAGAACTCAGAGAGGGCGGATAAATGAGCTATTCATCCCCAAATATCCAACAATCCTTTTCTCGTTCTGTCTGGCATTCCCTACAACCCATCAACCCTAGATCAATTTAGCTATCCTCTAGCCCATCTTAAAGCAAATGCCATAGGCCTAAGACTTAAGAACACCTCTAAATTTGATCTTCAACCTTTCGCAGCCACTATTTACTACCTATTAAATATTCTACAGGTCCCTATTTAGTTTCAATTCTCGTTTTCTACAAACTCTCCTAAACCCTCACAGATGACCTTGTCTTCAATTTCACTGAGAAAATAGTATTTGGATTTATAATATATGAACTTTCTGCCAACACCTACTTTCATACACTTTCTGTTTCCTGTTCAAGGCTAAGCTCTCACCCTCTGTCCTGGTCCCCTTGCTCTTGGGCTTACGCAGTAATCAGGCTCCATCAGTTATTTCCTCTCTCCTGAAGCTTCAACTTTTCATTCGAACAATTCTTTCCTCTCTTCATACATACACACTCAAAACCCATTTGAAAACAAGGCAAAAGAACAACGAAACCCAAACTCTCTCTGCAAGGCTGACGGTTAGTCTGGCTATCCTCGTTCGCCTTTAAGAGCCGAGTTTTCAGGAAATGCAACCTACCCTGGCTCCCTCTGCCTTTCCACTCTGCATTCTCAGGGAGCCTGCTGCCTGCCAGCCTCCAGTGACGCTATCCACATCAATGACCAATGACCTCCAAGCCAACAAATTCAACAAACGGTTTTCATTTCTTCTTGACTTGACCTCTCGACAGTATTTGATGTTTAGCAACTTCTGCCATGAAAACTCTCTTCCACTGGCTTTTTATAACATCACTGCCTCCTGACGCTTCTTCTATACTTCCGAATGCTCTCTCTTTGTCTTTATTGGTCAAACCTTAAATTTTAACATTTTTCCCAGGATTCTATTCTTGGCTTTCCTCTTCTCAAACTACGCTCTCTCTAGGGATGGGGGGTTGGGGAAAGGGAAGGAATATTTACACCATTAGTTATTCCACATACCCATAAATCAATAAGACTAAATCTGAACTCATTTGCTTCCTCCCCCACCCCCATCCCCACCCTTCCAGTGCTTACCCCTGTCATGGCCCTGCTGCATTTGTTTATCTGTCTGTCCCCCTGCCCTGGCAGGCCTGGAGGATGGACATGACACACGGCTGTCCACAGTGCTGGCTCCCTAGAGCGAGGCTGGGAGTGTGGGCGGGGCCACTACGCAGCAAGGGCAGTGCATCTTGGAGGACCTAAGGGGTATGTCGTTACAAAAAGAACCCCAGCCCTGGCCGGTTTGGCTCAGCGGTTAGAGCGTCCGCCTGCGGTCCGGAGAGACCTGGGTTCGGTTCCCGCTAAGGGCATGTACCTCGGTTGCAGTTTGTCCCCGGCCCTGGTTGGTCGTGCGGGTGGCAGCCACTCGATGTGTCCCTTTCACATCGATGTTTCCCTCTCTCTCTCTTCCTCTCTCTCCCTCCCACTCTATCTGTACAAAAAATGGAAAAATGTCCTCGGGTGAGGATAAAAAAAAAAAAAACAACAACAAAAAAAACAAAACAAAAAGAACCCCAGATAAACTCCGCTGCACTATATCGTGAGTATCTTAAAGGAAAATGGTATTTATTTATTTATTTATCCATCCATCCATCTCGGAATCTCTTATGCTTGTTAGCACAAGAGCCTGGCACATAGTACTCAATCCATATTTTTTTGAATCAAAGAAGTAGAAAAAGAATGAATGGGATAGCTGAGATTAGCTTTGAAGGACTGGTGGTATTTCCAGAGGCATAGATGGAGGAGGAACCACTGAAGTCAGAGGGAACAGGACAATAACGCATGGACAATAACGCTGGACGGGGAGGGCGCACACTAATTACCACTCACATGAGAGGCCGAGGCAGGACTGGACAGTTCGGGAGGGAGCTGGAGATGCAGCCTCACAGGCAACGGCAGGCCAGTGAAGTGTTTTAAGCAATGGGAAGTGAGACCGGAAAGAAAAAGAATTACATGGACAGAGGACACGTCCTAACTAGCTGCCAAATGAACCACCTAAGTGAGAAGAAATGAAGGCCTGAACCACATACAGCAATTAGAGTAGAAGAAAAGGGGAAAACATTATTATTGAAATTGAAGGTAAAAACCAAATTTTTTGAATATTCACGAAGGATGGAATTAGTTGAAGTATTACATTTAAAGGAGGTAGAAAATGTAAACATCACAATCATGAACGGTGTTGGGTGCTAGAGTACACGATGTGCTCCTGAAGTTTCCTGTGCTGGGGAAGAGCTCCACCTGGCACAGGCCGACTCGGAGCTGGTCACTGAAGAGGGCGCTCTCTGCGTGTGAGGGACGGGCACTCTACGACCCGAGGAGGGAGTCGGTGACTATAACCGTACCGTGAAGCTGTTGTTAGCGTTTTTTGTGCTGGCTTCAGCTACGCTGGCATCCGAGAGGTCAACTTCATCAAATATCAGAGACTGTTAATGAAAAAGAACACAAACATATTAAATGAAACCCTAACTCAATGCCCCTCAATAAGCTTTTTACTATCAGGTCATGACTATGAGGCTACATCAGGAATTAGGAATAGAAAACAAGGAAAAATTTAAGTTAGCGATACTTTGTGAGTAAAACCACAAAGTACAACTCACACATAAATCCCAAACTGAAAAGGACTTTAAAAAACTCCAGAACACTCTCTGTACACTCTGGGAGCACAGTTCACAGGGAGTCTACTAAGTGCGACACACCGCCAAGGCGAAGGCAACACCGTTTCCACATCTGCTGAGAGAAATGGAAAGGACTAGACCTGGCTCAGATCATGGTGAGTTATTAACTTCCTGAACCTTATTTTCTTCATCTATAAATGTGTTGAAATGAAATGATGAATCTTCTCTGCAAATATAAGATGATGTTTCTTTTATATGCCTAAAAGCGGTTTTAAGTTTTAAAGTTTCAGTGACAAAAACTCCCTAGAAGCGAAATCTTTAAAAATTTACAATTTAGCCCAGGTTGGGTGGCTCAGTTGGCTGGAGCGTCGTCCCATACATTGGAAGGTCACAGGTTTGATTCCCCATCAGGGCACATACCTAGGTTTTGGGTTCAATCTCTGGTTGGGCACATGCCTAGGTTGTGGGTTCGATATCTGGTCAGGGTGTGTATAGGAGGTAACCAATTGATGTTTTCTCTCATATTGATGGTTTTTTCCTCTCTCCCTCCCTTCCCTCTTTCTCCAATCCATAAAAACATATCTTTAAGTGAGGAATTTTAAAAATGTACAATTTAGAAATTCAGAAATTACAGGAAATAAATGTATCCTTCCCACTTTTAGTCATTTGCTCACTGTTCATACTCATTCCATTAAAATAAAATAAGATTGTTTTATTTGGTTATTACTTCTACAGCTGCATAAACTAAGATTTAGGTTTTGTTTGTTTATTTGTTTTTACTCCCTGGTATAAAAGTCTACTAATTACATCAGGAACATACATCCATTAATATAAAAATTACCAATTATTCAGTTAGCACAGTAGTAAGAGATCTTAATGTTTATTAATTTATTTTTTTCTTCATTGATTTCAGAGAGAGAGGAAGGGAGAGGGAGACAGAGATAGAAGCATTGATGAAAGAGAACACTGATTGGCCGCCTCCTGCATGCTACCCACTGGGGATCTGGCCCACAGCCTGGGCATGTGCCCTGGCCAGGAATCCAAATGGCAACCTCTTGGTGCATGGGTCGATGCTCAATCACTGAGTGTGTGCACACTGGCCAGGCTTAATGTTTATTTTTTAAAGAATCCTAAAATATCAGATTTAAATGGAAACTAATCATTACAATTTTTCTTCCAAAACGATATCATTCTTGTTTTATTCAACCGTTATATAAAAATTATTTAAAGCCTTAACTTTATTTCACTATATTTTTATTCTTAACCACTAGCTTAACAAGTGATTATTCTGTGTGGCAGGCACTTTGTAAGTACCTCATGTCTATTCTCTCATTTCAGCCTCCTCCCGTGGTCACAGGCGTCCACAGCCTGGCACTGGAGTGTGCTGGACCTGGGACAGCGACTGGTCTGAACCCAGAGCACTGATTCCTAACAAGTACAGCAATTCTCTCACGCAGGGTCAGGAAAATATTTATAATGTAAAAAAGTAGCAAGAAAGGGGAGAAAACCCCAAATTTTTAGTTTATTATATTTGATAAGGTTACATTTAATATTTCATTTTAATGGGAAGGAAGGAAGGAAGGAAGGGAGGGAGGGAGGGAGGGAGGGAGGGAGGAAGGAAGGAAGGAAGGAAGGAAGGAAGGAAGGAAGGAAGGAAGGGAGGAAGGAAGGAAGGAAACTTCCTATTCTATTGTCCTTAGGGGGCAGGCCATGAGACTGACTCAGGCTCCCTTGGGATTTGGTCCAAGGTGGATCACATTTATATTGAATTCATATAGGAGCAGAAAGGCTGTAGTGAGCCCCAAGACAAAATCAGTTTAGAGAACCAAACGTTTAAATCCATCCAGTGCTTGCATCTGGCATTCTCTCCAATTACCTTCGAGTCCTTTGCATAGTAAAGTGTACGGCCTCTGAGCTTGAAGTATCGCTTTTTCCACCTTTGAAAAGAACTGGTTTGCTTCAACAGCTGGCCCTCTTTAATACTGGTCTGTGGAGAAGGAGAAACACAACGACATGATTTAAATGAAATTCAAAACCAAACAAAATTCAGAATTAATGACACACCATCATTAATATTTTGAGTACTGTTTCCCATGTCCTACAAATTACATGAGAGAATATTTTCTTCTTCCTTGTGTTCAACCAAGGAAGTACATGTACAAAGTCCCAAAGAGCAAAGGTAAACTTAACACGGTGCCCTGACCTTCAAGTCGTCACAAAGAGTATGAAAGGTACATCCACTGAAACTCACACTCACAACACAGAGTGACGCCCACGATGACTTGTACACAGTGAGTATCTAATAAATGGTGAAATGCTATCATTTAAAAGGTTTGGGCTTTACATCCCTATGACTGTTTTAAAAACTGACAGTTTGTACTTCCTTCACCTTCCCACCCATCCCTCTCCCCACCTCCCATCTGGCAACCACCATGAACATAGTCAGTAATATTGCAATAACTACTACGGTGTCTTATGGGTACTGGACTGATCAGAGTGATCACCTCGTAAGGAACAGAACTGTCTGATCACGGTGTTGCACACCTGAAGCTAATACAATGTTGCAGGCCAACTGTAACTGAAAAATAAATTTAAAAAAGTAAAGCATGGGCTCTGAAGCCATAAACCTTGCATTCAACTCCTGGGTCCACCACTTGGTAGCAGGATGATCTTAAACAAATTACTGAACTTCCTTATGCCTTCATTATTCATCTGTAAATGGGATCACAACTTAGAGGGTTGTTGTGAGGAGTAAATAAAAACACAGAATCATGCTGCGACTCCTGGTCAAGATGGCAGCGTAGGTAAACACAGTGTCGCCTCCTCCCACACCCACATCAAAATGACAACTAAACTACAGCACAACCATTCTTCAGAACCGCCTGACCTCGAGCTGGATGGAAGTCCTACAACTACGGAATTAAAGCAGCAGCCACACTGAGACTGGTAGGAGGGGCGGAGGCGGACGGGCTGGTCCCACAACCACGTGTGGCGGATAAAAATCAGGAGGACACCTCGGCTGGGAAGGTCCTCCCTGAGGAGGGAGGGGTCCGCGTCACACACCAGGCGCCCAGCTGAGGGTTCCAGTGCCAGGAAGAGAATCCCCATCACTTCTGGCTGTAAAACCAGCGGGAACTGAGGCTCAGAGAGGCTGAGGCTGCGGGAACCACAAGCAGCTCCTCTTAAAGGGCCCGCGCACGGACTTACTCGGACCCACTCCCTCTGAGCTCCAGCCAAGAGGGGAAGCAGCTTGAAAGGCACCAGAGACATACAGGGAAGAACTGAGTTGTTTGGCATTGAGGCGAGGGCTGGAGAGGCAGCTTTCTCCTGGACAGATGTGCTGGTGGAGACCACTGTTCCTTTGGTGAGCCCCTCCCCACAGGGTAATCAGAGGTGTACCATATCTGGGACTCCAGCAACCTGGCTCACATTGGTTGCCCCACCCTAGTGATTCCCTGAGGCCCCACTTCACCCAAATTTCAGGCCCACCCAAGCTGTTTCCAGTGGCTTTACCATAGGATTGGCCTGTCTTAGATCCTGCTTCAGATTTTCCTAAATTCTCTCAAACAAGAGCATCTGGCCACAGCGAGCCCCATACCTCTCGCTAAGTGGCCCCAGGCCTGGCACTAGAAGCAGCCAGCCTTGGTTCACAGCTTGGCTTCGCCTGGGCACCTCCAAGCCCAGCACAAGAAGCAGCCATCTGCAGATCACTTTGTAGCTTATGTCGGGTGACCCCAGGTAGAACACAAGCAGTGGCTAACCTTGCCCCAGAGCCAGCACACCCAGTGGACAGCTTCAGACCACATCAAAGCACCACCACCCAACCACCCTCACAAGTGACACACTAAAAGAATGGACTCAGAGGGTAACAGAACACTGCTGAAGTAAGTCTTGCTCTGTGTGGTGGGCCCCTGCACAGCTGATCCTCCAAGGTAGTCAGAGGTCAGTGGTCAGTGGGCACAGCTAGTCCTTGCAACTGATCAGCCTGAGTAAAACCCTCCCATTGACGTGTCAACAGCAATCAAGAATCAATTACAACAGAAGGGTGTAAAGTCTACACAAGGGGTGCACCTCGAGGGCCCAGCTGGGGTGATCAGGGAGGCTGTGCCACTGGACCCTACAGGACACCTACTACAACAGGTCACCTTGGGAAGTAAAGGGGACATGGCAACTCTACCTAATACATAGAAACAAACACAGGGAGGCAGCCAAAATGAGGAGACAAAGAAACATGTCCCAAATGAAAGAACAGAACAAAACTGCAGGAAAAAATGTAAATAAGCAATCTAACAGATGCGGAGTTCAAACCATTGCTTATAAGGACTCTCAATGAACTTAGTGAGGGCCTCAAGAGCATAACAAAGGACCAGTCAGAAATGAAGGATGCACTAACTGACATAAAGAAAAATTTACAGGGAATCAATAGTAGAGTAGGTGAAGCCAAGAAGCAAACCATTGATTTGGAATATAAGAAACAAAAAACACCCAATCGGAAAAGCAAAAAGAAAAAAGATTACAAAAAAAAAAAAAATGAGGATAGTATAAGGAGCCTGTGGGACAACTTCAAGCATACCAACATTCACATCATGGAGGTGCCAGAAGGAGAAGAGAGAGGTCAAGAAATAGAAAACGTATTTGAAAAAGTAATGACACAAAACTTCCCTAACTTGGTGAAGGAAACAGACATACAAGTCCCGGAAGCACAGAGAGTCCCAAACAAGATGAACCCGAAGAGGTCCACACCAACACATATCATCATCAAAATGCAAAAGGTTAAAGATAAAGAGAGAAACTTAAAAGCAGCAAGAGAAAAGCAGTTAGTTACCTACAAGGAGCTCCCATAAGGCCAGGAGGGAGTGGCAAGAGATATTTAAAGTGATAAAAAAGCAAGGACCTACAACTAAAATTACTCTATCCTGCAAAGCTGTCATTTAGAATCAATGGACATATAAAGAGTTGCCCAGACAAGAAAAAGCTAAAGGAGCTCATCACCACCAAACCAGTATTATATGAAATGTTGTTGAGTCTTCTTAAAGAAGAAGATAAAAAAATATGAACAATAAAATGGCAATAAATACATATCTATCAACAATCGAATCTACAAACAAAATGAGCAAGCAGAACAGAAACAGTCTCAAAGATACAGAGAACTTTTTGTTGATTGCCAGATGGGAAGGGAGTTGAGTGAAAAAGATGAAGGGATTAAGAAGTACGGATTGGTTGTTGGACTGATGAACCTCAAAGGGAAGTGGGGGAGGGGTGGGAAGAGAGAAACCGAAGAACTTCTATGCGTATATGCATAACCAATAGGCACAGACAATCGTGTGGGGAAGGGTGGAGTGGGGGCGAGATTGAGAGGAGGGGGTCAAGAGGGAGAAAAAAGAGGGACAACTGTAATACATTCAACAATAAAGATACGTTTTAAAAACAAAAAACACATAAAGAACTTTCTGCAGGGCCACAGTAAGTGGTCATTAACTAACACAGGGCTAGTGACGCCTGTTATTGTAACACACATCTTCGAAGCACTGGGCATGGCAGAAGGAAGCTCCAGCTCTGCTCCAGAGGGATCAAAAAAGTCCCCCCAGGGGAGAGCCCAGGTGGGTCTTGAAGGAGCTTATCAGCATGACAATGGGTGAGGAAGGGTATTTTCTTCTTCAGTAGGAAGATGGAAAACAGCATGGCTACTTGGGGAATCTTCAAAAGCTTTCATTACCGATGCAGGACAGGGTTTGCAAGGGGAAGCAGGAGGTGTGGCTGGAAGAGGTGGGCAGGGGCGCTATGACCCGGGCCAGACCCTGTGCTAGGGCTGTATGTATTCCAGTTCACTTCATCTTCATCGACAGAATCCTCGGCCCCCTCCGACCTCATCTAGTATCTCTCCCGCACTTGGTCCCTCTGTCCATAAAGGTGCTTTGCTTGGAGGTGGGCACGCATTCTCCTCCCCTAGGTCTTGATAGCACCTGGTCCCTCTCCCTGGACTGCCTTCCCTCAGCTATCCATCTGCCGGCTCCTTCACCTTCGAGTCTCTGGCCGTCCCATGAGACCCGCCTCACTGACCACCTACTTAGCACAGCAACTGTGCTGTCTGTATCTCCCCCATCTTGGTCTTACTCCCCCACACAAAGTCCTCTCTATCTTCTAATGTAGAATGTAATTTACATATTTATTATGTTTATTGTGCTATCCCTATTAGAATACAAGGTCCTTGAGTTTATGATATATCATAAAATTAAATTTAATGTTACATTTTAATTGGAAGTAAAGAAGAAACTACACTTATAGCAAAATAAATTTACAGCCTTGCTATGAGATTATCCTTAGGAGATGCTACAGGACCGACTCAACTAGATCCCCTTGGGATGGGGTCTGAGATGGATCACATTAACACTTAATTCACAGAAAAGCAGTAAGGATATAATGAGCTTCTAAGACAAAAACAACTTATAGAACCAAAATCTTAAATCCACCTCACTGGACTGCACACTGACATATCTCAAGTGCCAAGAGCATTCCCAGCAGATACAATACTGAGATCTACATGAATTTATGGCAGGTGCCAATATTAAACCCCTATCTATTTGAGTGCAGAGCTTATTCTCAACATTTACACTACACTGTCTTTTATCATCAACAAGACTTAAAATACTGAGAACAGTTTGTCGTCACCAATGAGGCAGTTAAGTTACATTAACGTTTACTTTCGATTTCAATGAGAGATTTCTCTAGAGCTTGCTCTAAGACGGTCCTGCCGGGCATTGCTGAGAGATCACTAAAATTCAATGATAACAAAAGACTTTCGAAACTTTAGTAACTAGGAGCTTGATTTGGAGGCAGACAAACTTCAAGACAGGCTCTGCCACACACTACAATATAAACCTGGGCAAGTTACACCAGCTCTCTGTGCCCCGGCTTCCGCTCCTAAAATATGGGAATAATAATACCAACTTCACAAGCTTGTTGCATCTTATTTAATGACAAGATAGT